CTAGAGAACCTTCTGCCTTTTATATTTTTATCACTCAGGAAAACATATTGACATATGGTCTATTTGAGTTGGAAAGTGTGACCAAATAAAAATTTAAACATTATTGATTACTTATTTTAGGTTTTCAAACTTGATTCCTCTGATACAGCAGATATCGATGATAATATTTTTGAGGAGATGAAGAAAAATGTTAAAATTCCAGAAAGTCAGAGTAAGTGTTATTATTAAATTTAATAAAGCTAATTCATTAATTCATTAGAAGACAAACTGAGCCAATCTGACCTTTATTTATATCTTTAAAAACATTTTTGATTAATGATGTTTTGTTCTTGTACTTTTAAAAATGTGCTTATTTAAAATTTGTATAGCTTTACCACATGTTAGATCATGTTACATAAATATAGGGCTCACATAGCCCTTTTAGTTTACAGATGACCATTAATATCATTCAAAAACCAAGTAGATATTATATGTGGAAGTAAATATTGTGTGAGAAACAACAGGCAAGTGACTACAGTGTTGCCTCCAAAGTAGGACTCCATACAGTCTGTGCGTCCCCAGGCCAGATCACACAACCCAGCATAGTCATCTGAAATGAGTTGCATGCCCATTATCTGCCACTCGGCTATGTGCCAGGGGGACAGAGAAAGGGTGTGACAGGGTCCTTGTTTCAGAGGAGCTCACAGTCTGCCGCAGGACCTCAGCCATTGCTGTCACTGCTCCATGGCGAACCTGTCCACACATCCACCAGTAGGACTTTTATGTTCCAGACTTTCAACGAGACTTCTGCTGTTGCCTCTACTTCCTCAGAATTCCTGACTTTTTTGTGTGTTACTTTTTGGTATTCAGTTTGGGAGAGTGCGGTCATTGGGCGTGATGAGCTTCTTTCATAGGATTTTAAGAAAATCCCCAAGGCAGGTATTTCAGCCAGACAGATCCTAACTGGATCTATTGGGTTGTCGGAAAATTCATGACATATTTTTCCTCTTTTTCGTTGCAAAAATGCATCATGACTTTTCCAGCAACCCAATCGTTAGGATCTAGTGGGGACATCTGGACCCTAACTCTACTCTCCTGTTCTTCTGGAATACTTACTGTCTTTCAAGTGGCTAACTACTTTCTGTCTCCATAGTGACCCATTCAAACCTCCCCTATCCTGACCAGTAGATTTTCTAAAACTGTGGAGCAAGGTGGTGGGTGTAGAGTGTGGAAAGAGGAGTAAAGGGATTCCCAGTGTGAAACGCTTTCAAATCTATTTGATTCTTTCTTCAAAGGGCATCTATTTCCCTTTCCTATATCCCAGAGGCAGCATCTCCAAAAAACATCCCTGAGTGGAAGGAGGAAACTCACAAACCATATTATTATGGGAAAGATAAATGCATGGCTCTTTCTCTTAGCCCAATTTTAAAGCTAATTATACAATTCAGCTATCTGAGAATATTGAAACAATGTTTAAAGCATTATTAAGTATATGGTATGAATATTTACTCATTTAATAAACATTGGAGACTACATATAAACACATTTTCTGTAGTGTTTTCTAGGATATAATTTTTAGTCTTAATTAGAAAATATTTTCTAAATAAAATGGAATATTTGCAAGATTATAAGGAAAGAAGACTGATATTATTCTCAGTTGCATTAAAAATAATTTTCTCTCCAGACTTCGATTGGCAGTGGATTGTCCTAGATGGTCCAGTGGATACCTTTTGGGTCGAAAGTCTAAACTCTGTGCTGGATCACACTCAAACGTTATGCCTAGCAAACAGTGAGAGAATAGCTTTAACTAATAAAATAAGAGTGATTTTTGAAGTCGACAGTCTCTCTTATGCCAGTCCTGCTACTGTCAGCCGATGTG